GTGTGTGTGTGTATGTGTGTGTGTGTGTGTACGCATGTGCGTGCCAGTAGTGGGGGCTTGAACTCAGGGGCTGGAAACTGTCCTTTACCTTTTTCACTCAGGACTGGTGTTCTATCACTTGAGCCACATCGCTGACATTTTGCTGATTAACTGGAGAGAAGAGTTTCATGGATGTTTCTTCCTGGTCTAGTTTCAAATTGTGATCCTCAGATCTCAGCCTCCTGAGTAGCTAGGGTTACAGACCTGAGCTACTAGTGCTGGCTATATTCATTTCTTACAGTTTATTTTTCAGATCTACTTGTCAGATCTTTTAATCTGTTCATTCAAGATTAAAAATTCATTCTTTATGTTCTAGAACAGTGCAATGTGGAAGTAGCCATCTGCCACATAACCACATCTCAATCAACAAAGGACCATATATAGGATGGTGATCCTATAAGATCATAATAAAACTGAAAAATTCCTCTTGCCTACAGACATCATAACCCCTATAGCTGTCATAACATCATAGTGCCATGCATTATTCATGAGTTCATGGTGATGCTCATGTAAATAAAAGGGCTGTTTTGCCCACTGTGCCAAAGAGTAGCACACACAGCTGCATTCAGTAAATTATGTACAGTCCGTAGTACTGCACAATGGTAAGTGACTGTATGATCATGCTATGCCTTCCATAATTATTCTAGAGATGTACCATAAAGCTTTGCAGCATTGTACACTGTAACATCCAGATTCATGTAAGTACACTCTATAATGTTCAAACAACAAGGAAATCCCCTAATGACATATTTCTCAGGATGTATCCCTGGTTGCTAAGTGATACAATGATACACAGCTGTATATTTATCTTCTTGCTTTGATAATTCTCCAGACAGTAAGATAACAAATCCATCAATTGATTGAACCCCAGCTGGGCAGAATCACCAAATAAGCATAAATCAAAACCTTAATGTCCTGGATTAACTGGGGAAAACACAATAATGTACATTTATTACATCAAACCTTAGGCCCCCCATATCCCAGCTTCCAACAAATAACTCATGACCATATTTCTTTCATCTACACCCTACACTCCTTCTCCCTATCTGGGGAAGATAATGTCTCCAGAGACCACAGATTGTAGGCTTCTCATATTCAAGCTATGATAACAAAGGAAGTATGAAGTCCACTGAGAACTATACTTTCCAAACTTAATCATTAACATTCACACTAGAGTGATCTCAGAGGTCAACATGTACTTTCTATTACCCATAAGGAAGTTGGGACCTATCAAATATTTCTTTACTTAGCCTAGGATAGTAAAGGCTCTAAGCTCACAACTCTGCATATAAACAAAGGTTAAGAGGATCTTTCTTTATTCAGCTTCCAGGTAAAATTCAAAAACTGAATTACCAAATACCAGCTTGACTTCCTATGGTTATAACGAATTCTCTCACCCTTAATAGACAGATGGAAAGGTTTCCAGTAGGAATGTTTCTACTCAAACAAATTAGCAAGTTTGAGGGCTGTACCTTATAATCATACCCTTATTGTATCAGATCTCAGTTCGAACTTAAAACCTTGGAAGCCTATATATGCCAGCCTCAAGATAGGGAGATAACATAATGTTACTTCTTTAAAAAAGGAAGACCAGAATTTTCAACTCTGTCTTAAATATAACCTAATACAGCCATAAGGAAGAACTATGCTGAAGAAGAGAATCAAAATTACATGTGTTAACAATTGGATTTATATTCCATTCTTGCTGGAAAGTTAATTCTGTCAGTTTCCTTTCTGTTGCTATGACAAATAGCTGAGATAACAGCTAATAAGAGGGAAAAGTTTAGCCAGAAGAGGTAGCTCACACCTGTAATCCTAGTGACTCAGGAGACAGATCTGAGAATTGTGATTTGAAGTCAGCCCAGGCAGGAAAGTTCGTGAGACTCTTATCTCCAATTAATCACAGAAAAAGCTAGACATAGTGCTATAGAGTAAAAGGAGCTCAGGAGCAGCACCCAGGCCCAGAGTTCAAGGTCCAGGACACACACACACACACACACAACACACTCACACGCAGAACAGTTTATCTTTACTCATGGGTTCAAAGGGTTCCATCTGCAATCATTTGGACTGCTTTGGACCTGTGGTGACAGAGGTATTATGGCAGGATTTGGGTGGACAGAAAAGCTGTTCACCTCATGGCAACCAAGTAACAATGAAAGACAGGAAGAAGCTAGGGTCCTAACATCATCTTTAACAGTATGTCCCCCAATGGCCTAATTTCTTTCCCAAAGACCCCTCTTACTAAATGTCCCATCACCACCCAACAGTGCCACAGGCTGGGGACCAAGTCTTCAACATGGGACACTTCAGATCTAAACTACAGTGCTAACCATTGACTTGCACGAGGCTTCTATACTTCTTGACTGTATGTGTTAGTGTATGGAACTCTCAGCTGAGCCTAACTCACCACAAAATTTGGGCATTTTAAATCATATAATTTTCCAGTGATGTTCATCAAACAGCCTCCTCTTATCCTAATAACCAGTACCAAAAAAAGCATTCATTTTTTGAATATATAGTCCATGGGTCTATAAGAAAATTCTTCTTTACTTTTCTGTCACCTCTACTTTTCAGAAACTTAATGTATACTGAGATAAAAATCCAACACAGCATCATATTTGAAAATGTATTATTTCTGAGATATAAATGGTCTTAAGTTTACTTGGGAGGAAAAAATATTTGTAATACACACACACACAAGTAAAAAGGCAACTGGTTTATACACACACACACATGCACAGGCGCATGCGCGCGCGCACACACACACACACACATATACATACCATTGTTTAAGTAACTGGCTTTCAAAGCAGCAATAACAAATGAGCCACTAAAGCAAAGTAAATCAATTGCTAATTCACTTTGTTGGTTGGGTTTTTTTTTTATTTGTGTGTGCTTGCCTGTTTTAATCATTGATAAATATCAGCTCAAGTAAGGATCAAGATGAGAGCAAATGGCATGCTACTTATGATGTCCCTAATTCCTTCTTATTAACCTGAGTAAAGAAGTGATATCATTGCTTCAAGGGGGTGTCGATGGGCATTTGAGTGAAAGGTGACAAACAGATAAACTTGTTCCTGAAACCATGAGTGCTACCACCATATCCCCACTGGTGAGATGGCCTCGAGCGTCTGGAGGTGGACAGCATGCAGTGGTCTCCAGGAAGCTGAGCATCACCCCCAGGAAGCCCCACACCCCTTTCTTCACATGGAACTGCCCAGGCTATGAGTATAGAAATCTACCCTAGGCAGCATCTGCACCTGAACTCCATGAGGGATCCTGAGAGGCAGACCTGCCGCTGTAGGACAGTTGGAGCAGGGCAGAATCTGTTTCTTGACCTTTTACAGGGAAGAAAGACTCCCCTATGCAACACTATAAAAACTTACTCTAAGTGTCTCCATATCAAGACCTACAGTCAGACAATGACAGAGCTGCCTTCCCCATCCTCACCCCGCCCCCCCCCACACACACACATTGGTCATGGTGCTTCAACTCAGGGCCTGGGCACAGTCCCTGCCCTTTTTTGCTCAAGGCTAGCACTCTACAACTTTGAGCCACACAGCCAATCCTAGTTTTCTGGTGGTTACTTGGAGATAGGAGTCTCACAGGGACTTAATGCCCAGACTAGCCTGCAACCTCAATCCTCAGATCTCAGCCTCTGGAGTAGCTAGAATTACAAGTGTGAGCCACCAATGCCTGGCCTGACAGAGCATTTTAAATGCATTAACTAGTCACGGAGCAATAGAAATAAAACTGAAAACAAAAAACTTCCAGAATTGCCTCCTCCATCACTCTCCTAATACATCTCTCCAAATGTCCAAATGCTTCATTCTTTTATTTTTTATTATTAGTAAAACATTTATTAAACAGAAGGATTACATTTCATAAGTCAGGCAAAGTGTACATTTGCTTTTGGATAATGCTACCTCTTCCCTTCTATCTCTCTCACTTTTTCCCTTCCACTCCCCCACACACAAGTTGTATAGTTCATTTTCAATATAGTGTCCAGTAAGTACCATTGCTGCATTTGTGTAACCCTTGTCCCTCCATTTCTTTGTCTTCCCTTACACTCCCAAAGCCATATAGACAAACAAAAAAAGAAAAAGAAAATAAAAATAGCAAAAAATATTTTTTTAAAAAACTCATTTCCATTTCTTGGAGTTCATTTCAACCTTGTTCCAAATGATCAGATGTACATAAGCATTACACCCCACTTTTCCTTTCCAAAGAATGTCCTCCTTCAGTCTCACTGTGTATGTATGCCTAGAGACATATATAATTTATTATAACTATCGTTCTGGTTTTAATAGTCCAATTTTTGCGTTTACACCAAAAGTGATAAAATGTAACATCATATCAGAACAGGAATAAATTTCAAAGTCAAAAATATATTTTAGCAGCATAAAACAGAATTTCTGAAGAGCAACTCATCATACAAACAAACCATGGTCCTTTATCACAAGTGTGACTCACAATTATGCACCCATCTGGCTTCGTTAGCTGCCTAAATTATTTATGAGACTCCTAAATATGCTTTATGTGTAAATTAGGAAGACACGAAACCAAGGTGGCAGGTGCCAGAACTAAAAGAACACCCCTTCCTGGCTCCTTTTGTTACCTATGTTTAAAAAAAGAAATCACCCCTAAGAAAGCCTCCAAGAAAGACCTCTAGTGGTAATTTCTGGAATAAAATTACACATGTTGCTGTACAAAAAAGAAAGGGGAAAGGAAAAAAAAAAAAAAGGCCAGGCAAGGTGGACTGTGACAGTTCTAAGGTGACAAGACAGTAGAGGAGGAGTTTCTTTGTGTGATCTCCATAAAAGGTGAGCTCCACACCACCAACATCAGACAGGTGTGATCCAGCACCAGCCCAGCTGCGGCCCAGCTCCACCCCAGCTCCGGTCCAGCTTCAGACCCAGCTCCAGCCCAGCTCCAGGCTCTGCCTCTCAGCATCCCCAATGGAGTTCAGCAGCAGAAGCTTGCACCGAAGCCTCAGTTCCTCCTCGCAGGGTCCCGTGCTCAGCATGAACAGCTCCCTGTATAGGAAGGAGAACATGCAGCGCCTCAGGACTGCACCCAGTGTTTATGGGGGTGCTGGAGGCCATGGCACCCGCATCTCCACCTCCCGGCACCTGACAGGCTATGGGAGCGATCTTAGTAACGGAGGAGAACTACTGGTGGGCAGTGAGAAAATGACCATGCAGAACCTAAATGACCGACTGGCGAGCTACCTGGAAAAAGTGCGGTCCCTGGAGCAGTCCAACTCCAGGCTGGAAATGCAGATCAAGCAGTGGCAGGAAGCCAATGTGCCTAGCACCACCAGGGACTACAGCGCCTACTACAAACAAATCCAAGACTTGCAAAATCAGGTGAGGCGGGTGGCCTGGGACCTCCACCTTACCTTTCCCTGCATGACCAATCAGGAGGGCATGTGTGCTAAGTGGGTCCAAGTGCACACTGGAAGATAAATCAGGTTGAAAATTAAAACTGTAAAAAGGCTATATCCTATCATCTACCCTTATTGCTAAATTACTAACAATCCACCCAGCAGAATGACTGAAGGTCATGCTTCAATTTTTTAAAATCTGATTACAAACAGAATATAATTTTGTCCTCTAATTTTAGAATCTGTATCTTTAGAATCTGTATCTTTATGATGTCAGGAGCTCCTGGGAGCTCCAGGACTTAGGTACTGTTCCTGAACTTCTTTTGCTCAAGGCTAGTACTCTATCACTTGAGCCACAGCTCCATTTCCAGATTTTTTGGGGTGGTTAATTAGAAATAAAGAATCTTACAGACTTTAATGCTTGGGCTGACTTCAAACCATGATTCTCAGGTCTCAGTCTCCTTAGTAACTAGTATTACAGGCATAAGCCACCAGCATCCAGCCTGAAAAGGATTTTGATATGTGTGTGTTGGTCCTAGGACTTCAACTCAGAATCTGAGCACTATCCCTTAGCTATTTTTTTCTCAAGGCTGATGCTCTACTACTGGAACCACAGCTCTACTTTTGGCTTTTTTGGTGGTTAATTGGAGATCAGAGTCTCACGACTTACTGCCTGGACTGGTTTAAAACCATAATCCTTATATCTCAGCTTCCTGAGTAGCTAGGATTATAGGCATTGAGCCACTGGCTCTAAAAATAAGTTGATTTTTTTAAGTATGTGATAATATTTCTGAATTTGTCATCGAACTTTCATCAACTTTTGAGATTTTAGTCAATTCAGAGATTTTCTCCCTTAATTTGTTAGTATTACATAATTATTAGAATACTGTACATCTAAGTAATAAATGGATTCAAGACAGAAACTGGGGTGAGGGAGGGGAAAGAAGGGGCAAAAGTCTCAGTGATGCCTGCATTTTTAACTGTCATCTTTAATTATCTGATCATCATCACCAAGTTGCTTAGAAACCACTTCTACAACAATAAAGTGTTCTATTGCCCCCAATTCATATTTATTGTATCATATCACAACCCACTCCCATATCATCCAAGGCGGGTGGAGTTCTCTATTTTATCAGTGGACTGGAATAAGAGAAGACTTTGCTCCTAAATAAAAATGACAGACATGACACCAAGTGTTTGCCTTGCTTCGATGTCCTTATCTAATCAAGCAAACTGCCTTCTAGTTTCCATTTCTGACTTAAGGTTCACATAATTTCTTTAGGGCAAAGGCTGTTTACTCATCAGCAGGGCTCATTCTTGAGTTGCACTCTAGACATCAGTACAGTCTGATTCAAATCTACAGGAGAGTAAAAGTTCAAGAACCAGCTTAGGAAATGGTGATCGCTCTGTATAACACCTTAATAACAACAATAAAATTATATTTAAAAAATATAATTAAAAAAATAAAAAGTGGGTGGAGATGGGGAGGATAAGAAAGATCTCAGGAAACATCAGCTTATGAACCAATGCCCTGCCTGTCAAGAGCTCATTCAGGCTCACACCAAAACCATTCAGTATAAACTAACCATTCTCCCATGCTTGTCTTAAGGCTCGTGTTTTGGTTTGGTTCAGTTTTTGGTGGCAGTACTAGGGTTTGAAGCAAGGGCCTCGCACGCTCACTTGGTTTCTTTTTTTCTTTTCTTTTTTTTTTCTCAAGGCTGGTGCTCTAACACTTAAGCTATATCTCCACTTCTGTTGTTTATGTTTCTTTACTGGTTAATTGGAGAGATAAATGTCTCATAGAGTTTTTCTACCTCAAATCTCAGACTCCTGAGTAGCTGGTGTTACAGGTGCAAGCCACAGGTTTCTGGCTTAAGGTTCACAGTTCTGCACTAATTTGGGATCATCTCAAATACATAGGCACAGCCACTAGTTCTGTCTAACGGGGTAGATCAAGCATATCAAGGCAGCCCTCTCTCTAGGACTGGATCCACTGAAAGACACCTGCCACTGTAACACCTTCTAAATAATGGCATCCGATCCACATACATCTTATAGAACTCACCCACGGAATACCACATAAGATCCATAGTTTATCCAGCATGATATACATAACTAATGACTCCTACCCTTCATTCATCCATTACTTAGTAAGTACTAAGTACTAAGTAATGGGGGCTGAGCATTATGATGGGCCCAAGAGAATATAAGTCTGAATGTAAAGTGATTTAGAAGGAAATGGGCATAGGCAAAGGTAATTACCACACAGATCAATAAGTGCAGGAGGGACATGCCAGGCAACTAGAGCCCAGGCAGATCCTAGCTAAGTTCAGAGGATGTCCCTGAAGGCTCCCCTGAAGCCACACTGTCCAAGCTGAAATGGGAAGGAGGAGCGGGGAGTGTATCAGGTGAAGGTGACTAATATAAATGTTGTAGGCAGGAATGACATCCAAGGCAAAAATATTCATTTCAGGTTCAATGAATCCATTGGAGTAAAGAACAATCATTTTGTGAAATCACAAGAAAGTGAGCCAAACTCTAGGGGCCAGAGTTGCATTTTATGTATCTATTTCTGTTAAATATTCTTGTCAATATTCCTCTTACCTAGCTAATCTTCTGTGGTAATTCTTTACATGAAAGTCACCTTTGCTACCATTGTACTTAAATAGGAAGATACAGCCAACCACTTTAAACTCCTTCCTAGTTGAAAATATCATTCCTTCTCATGTGTTTCTCAGATTAGAGATGCTCAATTGCAAAACGTTCGATGTGTCCTGCAAATTGATAATGCTAAACTGACGGCAGAAGACTTCAGGCTGAAGTAGGTATTGAAAACCATGGTAAATTTCTTCTTTTTTTCAGTGTAGCCCAAGATGGCATAGTGTTGGGATTGCAAATGTATACCACCAAGCCTGGGACCATGACAAGCCAGGTACCAGTGGTTCATGCCTGTAATCCTAGCTACTCAGGAGTCTGAGATCTGAAGATTGTGGTTAAAATCCAGCCCAAGCAGGAAAGTCTGTGAGACTCTTATCTCCAATAAAATAATCAGAAAGAGCCAGGTGCTCTGTGGCTCAAGTGGTAGAGTGCTAGCCTTGAATACCAAGAGACTTAGGGACAGTGCCCAGCCCTGAGTTCAAGCTCCAGGACCAGCAAAAAAAAAAAAAGAAAGAAAGAAAGAAAGAAAGAAAAATCTTCTTAGCAGTCAATTATGCACACAAATTACCATATTGTTGTTGGTTATGAAACAACATTAAATAATTTCAGAATCTTAACACTTAAGGGATGTTAGAAGCTATGTGAATGTGATCCATCCCAGCTCTCAGGGAAGAACATCTCTCTCCACAACCCTTAAATCTGATCATCCTGCATGTAACTAAACACCTCCAGTATTTGTTTTCATTGGTTAGTTCTTATTGTTAAAACATTCTTTTTTTTTCCATTCTTTTTGGTTGGTTATGGGGCTTGAACTCTTGGCTTGGGTGCTGTCCCTGTGCACTTCAGCTCAAGGCAAGCACTCTACCGCTTGAGACACAGCGCCACTTCCTTCCCATTTTTTAGCATAAATAAAGGTTTGGTTGGTCAGATTGGGTGAGTCACAGACTTGACATACCTGCAACCTACTGTTGTACACCTTGAGGTGACAGAGGTTGCTAAGCTAATTGACAGTGAGCAGTGGAAGGATCTGAGGCTTCTGAAGGTTAACAAAGCTTCTGGGTCTGAAACTCACATCCTAAAAATAAATCTAAGAGGGAAAAGGCATCATTGAGGGCTAGAGGACTTGGTGATTTGGGATCAGTGCCCTGACTGCCATTTGTTTCTTCCTCATATTGTACTATGTGAGGGGTTCATTGTGATGTTTCCACACATGCTAACATTCTTTTCAATAGCTACCTGTTACAGAACTAACTCCATCCTCAGGTGAAATAACAGAGCGTCCCAGAATTCCCCTTCTGCATTAATGCCTTCCTGTTATCTAAAGAGAGCCTCCTACCTTGATTCAGTGATTTAAAAAGCATAGTTGAAGACTAAAGCAATGAAATTTATTCATTCGAGTTTTACTAGAACAACATCTGAGTGAGCCACTGCATTATCATTTTTTTAAAGTTTTTGCTATTAAAAAATAACATATAAGAATGACAGGAAAATATATGACTGTTTTAAGATACTTCACTTTGGATGCATCTGCCTCCAGCTCTCAAGTCTCTGGGATTACAAGCCTGTGCTTCCATCTTGTGTCAGGAACTTGAAGTTCTTGCAGATTGTAAATCACACAGATTATAGTAAGGAGCAAATGATCTGGTTCCTAGATTCTCATGCACATGTTGAGGACATACAAAGGAAGACATGATACAGTATTGAAACTGATCTCCTGGTGTACCACATATAAAATCTATTTTAACCTATTGAATTATCTCTCCTGTAACAGCTTCAGAGGGATTCCATTATCTCCACACTAATTCGTTCACAGGTTTGAGACAGAGAGGGGAATGCGGATAACAGTAGAGGCTGACCTCCAAGGCTTGAATAAGGTCTTTGATGAACTGACTCTACAGAAGACAGACCTGGAGATTCAGATTGAAGAGCTGAACAAAGACCTGGCTCTCCTCAAAAAAGAACATCAGGAGGTGAGAAACTATTCAGAGACGGAATTGGGAAAGATAGAACGGCTTCAATAATAAGGGGAAAGAGAAACCATGCAAAGAAGAAGAGTAGGTAGTAGTAAGAACTTGACAGTAACAATGGTAGTCTTAACAGTTTTTTACCACACTAAGCCCGATACCCAGTATCATTTTCTTTCTTTCTTTCTCTTTTTCTCTTTTTCTTTCACTTGTCCCCATTGAAAGAAGACACAAGACTTCCCATGCCTTTTCTGCACAGCCTTATCTGGGAATGTATGTCAGACTAAACTCAGTCCGGATTTCCTCTCTCCTAGGAAGTTGACGTCCTGCGCCGGCAGCTGGGCAACACAGTTAACGTGGAGTTGGATGCTGCTCCAGGCCTGAACCTCAGTGACATCATGAATGAGATGAGGCAGAAATATGAAGTCTTAGCCCAGAAGAACCTTCAAGAGGCCAAGGAGCAGTTTGAAAGACAGGTGATATCATAAGTCTACAGCAAGTATGGACAATGTGTCCCCAGAAAGAACTTGTTTTTTCTTCTCTTTTGCTTTCACTGATATTCTTTACTTCCTCAGTCTTCCTGTCTTCCTTTTGTCCTCCTTTCCTTTTCTTTCTTTCCTTCCTTCCTTCCTTCCTCCCTTCCTTCCTTCTTTTTTCCCCCTCAGTTACTTACTTGTTTTCATGTGTGGAATTTTAGTCTGAAGCTTTGCAGCAACAAGTCACAGTAAACACCGAAGAACTGAAAGTCACAGAGACTCAAGTGACAGAGCTGAGACGCACCTACCAGAACCTGGATATCGAGCTCCAGTCTTACCTCAGCATGGTAAAGGACATTTAACTTCCATTGCTCAATCAATGTGGGTTCATTGTCTGTGCTCAGAACTCTGAAAACGAAAAGATCTAGATGAAATAACCTCTCCCCTTGCAGAGCCAAGAGAGAAACAAGTTAAACAACTCATAATAATGAAAAGACAAAAGGAAAGGTCAGTGTGGTGGACAAATGCAGAGGAAAGAGTAGATTGGGAAGATTTCACAGGAGAAATGGCATGTAAACTAGATCTTAAAAACTGACACGGGCTGGATGCTGGTGGCTCACATCTGTAATCCTAGATTACAGATTGGAGGACTGCAATTCAAAGCCAGCCTGGACAGGAAAGTCTCATCTCCAATTGACCACCAAAAAATAGAAGCAGAGCTGCGGCTCAAATGGTAGAAACAGTGCAGAGGTCCTCAGTTCAAGCCCCAGGAGCAGTGCGCGTGTACAGGCACGTGCGCGTGTGCGCGCGCACACACACACACACATACACACACACACACACACACTGAGATGGGTTTTTAAGTTGGAGAACAGAAATCAAGACACTGCAGACTAAACAAATCAGCTGGCCCACGGTAAATCATGCTGTGGTAAAGTACAGTAATATCACTATGGTTCCATGAGATTTCACCCAATCTGAGACATGCTAGTTTCAGCAGAAAGCAAAGAGCAACGACTGAGCTATGTGATTGCTCTTAGAGCTCCTCTTTTGTGAAAAGGCATCTGTCCGTTTGGCTTGCATTTCAGAGGCAAAAGAAAAATCACTTACTCAGCCTGACCTCATAGGTTGAAGAAGTCTAATCTTCCACTCAGAGCATGGTTCATGTGGCCAAGGATGCTGAAGGGACTAGAGGTGTGACCTCTTCTAGGTCAGGTAGGATAAAGTAGCAAATACCAAGGGAGCAACAACACAATGTACCACAATGAGGGATGAGCAGGGGTGAAGCTTCAAGCAACAGGGAAAATCCACAAGCCAGGGAATCCTAACTGGCCAGCTAAGGTTGTCTAGATAGGAGGAGTGACAGAAAGGACTAGAAACATGCACATTGCCCAAGACCAGCTTCGTGGGAATTCTTTTTAAAAGAAATTAAAATTGAGTGAGTAGTTCCATCAAGTCCTCAGATAAGAAGCCCCTGTTTATCTTGCATTTATAGAAAGAGTCTCTAGAGCTCACCCTAGAGGAAACAAAAGCTCGCTACAGCAACCAGTTGGCCACCATCCAGGGACTGCTGAGCTCCCTAGAAGCACAACTGCTGCAGATCCGGGGTGACATGGAACGCCAGAACAATGAGTATGCTCTGCTCCTCGACATAAAGACCCGGCTTGAGCAGGAGATCGCTACCTACCGGCGCCTTCTGGAGGGAGAAGACGTACAGTAAGGCTCTTCTCAGCCAGGGATGTGGGCCCCTGCCTATTTCCTATTCTCTTTTCTTCTCTCTGTGTCTCTTGTGAGGCAGCACCAACACTGAGTTATACAAACACAATTATGACAACACAAAAATATGCCCCAAAATTATACACACACCCAAAACAGCAAGCTTAACCTTTGAACCCTGTGCTCTATGGTAGGAATGTGTGTGGAGATGGCTATCTACACTACAGATTAGGCTTGTATAGATTTTTCTTAAACAATTAGTAGACAACTGAAAACATAGTACCTTTTGAAAAGTTCTCATTGAGCATTTGCAAATTAAACAGAAGGCCACGGGAGGTCCGTGGGAACCTGAGTTTGTGAGTCAGCACTGCTGAAACAGCAACTAGTATTAGATATCACATCCAAGAGCATCAGAACACAGGACTTAAACTTCCACTCCAATTTTGAAGCTCTACCTTGAGAAACTTCTAATGGAAGGTTAACAGATCAGTTTTGAGGCTATAAATTTTTCTTGTTAAAAAGTAGGATACTCAAGGGCCAGAAGTAATCTTAGCTACTCAGGAGGGAGAGATAGGAAGATCACAATTTGGAAGCCAACCCAGGCAAAAAGTTAGTGAAGTTCTGATTCAAAAAACAAGATAGGCATGGTAACACATGTCTTGTGATTCCAGCTATCTGGGAAGTAAAGGTAAGAAAATTGCATTCTAAGGCCAGCCTGGGGAAGAGCACATGATTTATCTGAAAAGTAAAATATAACATTTGCTAGAGGCATAGCTCAAGTAGTAGCGAAGTAGAGAACCCGAGTAGCAAATTTGAGGCTCTGAAGTTCCAACCCCAGAATCACAAAAAAGAAAAGAAAGGAAGGAAAGAAAGGGAGGGAGGGAGAGGGAGAGAGCCGGTGAGACAGGAAAGGAAGGAAAGAAGGAAAGAAGGAAGGAAGGAAGGAAGGAAGGAAGGAAGGAGAAAGAAAGAGAGAGAGAAGGAAGGAAGGAAAGAAGAGAGGGAAAGAGGGAGGGGAGGGAGAGAAGGATGGAAGAAAGGGAGGAAAGACAGGAAGGAAATAAGGAAGGAAGGAAAAAAGAGGGAAGAAAGAAAGGTAAGAAGAAGGAAAAAGTAGGAACTCCATATTGAAATAAACATTGTCACAAGGAAATAGGAAACATCCTTTAAATACACACTACTCAGACTTTGTTTTAAAATAGAAAAGGGAAGGGATCACTCCATTTTCAAAATGTGAGTAACACTTTCTTTTTTGTTTCCCCACAGAACTATACAATATCAGTTACAAAGTTTGGAAGAGAAAGGTAAGTGTTCTGAACTTTGGGAGTATTTTTCTGGAACACTGAAATCTCAGAAGCTAGTAGTGAAAGACCAAAGGTGGTTGAGACATGGGGACCCTAAAACTCATGAATGTCAAATAAAGCAACCCTAAGAGAACTTTAGCACACATCATATGAGAGGCAATTCTCTCAACCAGAGCTATTGCTATCCTAAGACACCCTGAGATCCTGCAGAGAAAGCATCAAAAGGGAAATGTGACTTTTTGCTAAACTCAAGACTGTATATTTCCGTTTGGGGTGGAAGGAGTATGAAAAAATATTTTTCATTTGGGAAGGATGATACATTTTCAGCATTTATTTATTTTTAAAACTAAGATTATTTAAGAAAAAGGATGGGTTCTAATGGTTTCCTAAGAGATGGAAATAAGCACCAAAGGATAACCATCAGCTTGAATTTTGTAGACCAGCAGTGATGTGCCTGAACTGACATGTAATGTTTAATCTGCACTCAGACATAAAGAAAACCAGGAAGATCAAGACTGTTGTGCAGGAAGTGGTGGATGGCAAGGTCGTGTCATCTGAAGTGAAAGAGGTGGAAGAAAGTATATAACCGCTGCCAGGAGGAGGTGTTGCTGGGGTTTTGAAAGAAAATGGCCCTAAATTTTGCTACCTTCAAGAAAGTGGCCATCAGAAATCACTATTAATGTTTTCTGGTCATTAGAAAGAGGAAGAAGCCTATCTATTACTCTCTGTAATTAGATAGAAATGTTTAACTCAGAGGAGCTTCAAACTGCCTGCAAAAAAAAAAAAATGAAATCAACCGGCACTAGAATATTTAAAACATCACTACTGCCATCTTTATCACACAGCATACCAATTACAAGTGATAGAACCCAATTATCAATTGTACACATCCTAATCATACTCTGCCTCACAGTCTCTTCTATGCAAATTAAAAAATAAATCTCTCTCCAATTTGTGTTCCTGTTTCTAAATTGTTAAACCTCCTTTTATTTGTGTGTGTGTGTGTGAGAGAGAGAGAGAGAGAGAGAGTGAGAAAGAGAGAGAGAGAGAGTCCCGGGGCTGGAACTCAGAGCCTGGGCACTGTCCCTGAGCTTCATTTTGCTCAAGGCTAACACTCTGCCACTTAAGCCACAAGGCTAGTGCTTTACTACTTAAGCCACAACACCACTTCTGGCTTTTTCTGAGTAGTCTATTGGAGATAAGAGTATATTGGAGATAAGACGTTCCTGCCCAGGATGGTTTCCAATTGTGTTTCTTACATCTCAGTCTCCGAGTAGCTAGGATTACAGGTGTGAGCCACCAAGCACCTGGCCTAAAGTTCCTTTTAGAAACCCCTGTCCCATCAGCCTCACACAGAGTAATCTCAGGTACGTGGATTCACAGAAGCACTCCCAGCCTCAACACTGTTTTGTGGTCTGCATGTTTTAAATTCTCTCCTTCAAGCTCTTGTTTTCTCTCCCCGGTCTTACTTCCAAAATTTCCCTTGCTATTTTACTTGGTTCCTTTCTCTCTTTCTACCACATTCCACTACAGAATCTTTCCCCTCTTTTGTAGAACCACTGAGCTCTGAGTCCAGAACTCAGCCTCCCGGGGGCTGCTTTGGGACCCTTGTGCATCGCTCAGCCCTAAGGCAATCCAGTACTGTTCGTTCACTGCAGGTGTTTGCAATGCTATTCAACAACAGGTGGCAAGTGTCTATATTTCAAGGGGAAAAAGAATCTCAGATTAAAAACACTGTAATAGCTGGGTGCCGGTGGCTCACACCTGTAAACATAGCCACTCAGGAGGCTAGGATGTGAGAATCATAGTTCAAAGCCAGCCTTGACAGAAAAGTCTGTGAGACTCTTATCTCCAATAAACTACTCAGAAAAAAAAAAAGCCAAAAGTGGCACTGTAGTGCAAGTGGTAAAGCCCTAGCCTTGAGCACAAAGAGTCCCTGAATTCAAGGCCCAGTACAGAAAAGAAAAGGAAAAGAAAAAAAAAGAAAGAAATTAAAAAAGAAAAATCCTACAAAGACCAGAAAACTAACCAACCTGACACACTTTACTTAACAAAATATCTAAAGATTTAAAATTATCACATCAGGCAGAGTGCTTGTGTAGCAAGCAAAAAGACCCTGAGATCAAACTTCAGTACCATCAAAATATAAATAAATAATTTTATCAAAATGATGCATAAATCATTTCCTCCATGTTTAATATTCCCCAAACTGTACAAAAATAAAAGATATAATTCTTTGTGTTTTGCTACATAGTCCTGGCCTCAGATGTGTGATCCTCCTGCTTCTGCCTTCCAAGTGCTAGGATTACAGGCATGTACCACTCCACTTGGCAAAGACATAATTTTTTTTAATTTTTTTATATCATTTTATTTTTTTGTGAACATACTGTACAGAGGGGTTACAATTACATGGGCAGGATAATGCGTACATTTCTTATCAAGCATTGCAGCCTCCTCCTTTGTTTA